GGACATCGAATAGAGCTGGGTAGCAACTTGTCTGACTGGGTCCCCGTCATGGAATTAGATATACCGCAATTCCATACGATTCTGATGGTCTGAAATCAACTTTTTCCTTCTTTATATCACTATGTCGTAGTTACTAAAAAATAAATGGCAATAGTGATTTCTACTTCATATTGAAATTGTTTTTATCATGCATATTTTCTGCTTTTACCATAAGCTTGGAAAGAAAAAAAGAGTTTTTTCAATTTTTTTTTTGTATCGCCAAAGACATAAGACAAATTAACTACATATCGTGTAATGCGTTAAATGTTTTGGAATCTTTTATTGATGAAAAATATGAAAGCAGACATTGTTGAAGGTAAGGGCTTAATTTAGGAAAATAAGGGTCTCTTATTCTGAATCTTATTCTAACAATTTTGAAACTCAATTTGGTTGCTAGCCGACATGATATTTCGATTGCATGGCACTGCATAGATATTACAAGTGAGCTTTGTAACCTTATCAAGTATTTTTTTCACAAGATTCAAATTCGTATTTAATAATTATGAGCGATCTTCACTTGGTGTTTTATCAAGGATCAATTTGATAATATAAAAACTGATGATTCTGGACGATGATTAATCTTTAAAATTACTTTAATTAAAGAAAGTAAAGTTAAAGTAAAATAATTTAAATTTTACCTTTAAAAATAAATCAAATTCAAGTGAATTCTTCCATGAAAGTTTTGTTTTGTAAAAAAAAATGTATTTTCTTCATGAACATTATTCTTCTGAAAGATTATATTTTTCATAGAAATCTTTTTAGGAGAAAAAGACTGATTCTTTTACAAAAAAAACTTTGAAAGAAAGTTAAAGTAATACCTTTAGTTACTACTTACTGTAATAAACGAAGAAAATTTCAATGTCTCAATGGAAAAAACTTTTAAGACTTTTGAATAGAATTTATGAACATTCTAATCCAGAGGTGCAGAATCTTCCAAAAATCCAAAAATTTCCCCCCCCACGCAAAAAAGTTTTTTGAAAAATTTCCCCACTGTATTTTTTTTTGGCCAGCGGGTTTTTCCAAAATTTCCCTATTATTTGAGTTTTTCAAAAAATTTCCCTCCCCGCGCGGGGGCGCATGAGGAAGATTCTGCACCTCTGTTCTAATCAAATTACCACTATATTTAAAACCAAGAATCAGTTCACAAAGTGGTAAGCTCAGATCGAAATTTTTATTCAGAAAATATTCAAATTTTTTGGCAAATTGAATGAATGTACATTCTGTCTGAACTTATACCTACGTCATTCCGTTATATTCTTCTTTTTAAAATTTCCTCTAATTTTACGATTATTTTTCATGAGAGGTCAGATTTAATGTGTAATTCATATGAATCCTACTTTCAAGGTCAATCAGGTGTTCTGTTGGTTCTTTTGAAATATTATCGTATTTCACTTATATTTTTCTTTAGAACGAAAAGAATAATCGTACCACTATTGTGGAAAATACGAATGAAGTAGAATGAGTTTTGAATAATAAACTACGATGAAATATATTATCGATCTATAATATACGATTAACAGGAATTAAACCTTCGTAATATCCTGTCTATTATTCATCGGATGGTCCTTACTGAATAAAAACTGACCAGATCTTCAAAATACATGATTCCAACAAATTCTTACAGCATCAGTATACAAAAAGGTAGAAATACTGTAAACTGCCTTTTTAATATGGTCGCAGCTGAAAATCAGCCACGATGGATACAAAAAAGTTACACACTCTGTTGATCATTTTAATTTTTTAAATTAAACAATCTGTATGAAGAAAAAGCGACAATTCTCTATATCAAAGTTTCTGGAGAGAGAAGTTTGACGATTACTCAACAATTTCAAATTTATTTTCAGCTTGCAACATGTTCTTACCGATTGAATATCGGTGAAGCAACCGATCAGTTTTTATTTGTCATAATACTGTTCGAATAGTTCGACATTTGCTTGATCTTTGTGATCCCTTACATTGAAAGATGACTGTTATCGTGCAGCCATGAATGAAGAATGCATATTGATATTAATTTTTAAGTATGGCAGCATATATGGACGCATGTTCGATACTTTTTAAGGAGGTTGCATTTCATCTATATCGATATAGATGACAAACAACAGAACAAATGTATATGGACGTCATCATATAGTAAAAGATTAGTTCGCTAGTTATAAACAGCCTATATGTACACTATACTAGAGGTGTGTATAGGGTAAGCGTTTTCTGTACCGTGTGTGAGAAAATTTCTCACACCTCTACACTATACAAAGAACGAAAAAATATTCGATGGTATGGTATGTATATGTCACTATTAAATAGTGCTAATGTAATTGCACAATGTCAATGAACTCCATCATAACGATAGTCTATACAGAATCGTTTGTAGTTTTTCTGCAAAAATAAATTTTGTCATTTTCGATAGTCTTTCTTTCTCATATTGTCAATTACATATCCTTTCGCTGCTGTTAAAGTAAAAATTTTCAAAATCGATGAAAGATTTAACTAAGTTTTTCAAAGCAGTTTCTTTGATACATAAGAATTAATTTTCATTGAAGAATAGTTTCTAGATTTTTACAAAGAGTTTTAATAAATATTTTGTTAAAATGAATCTAATCCTCAAGTCTTTTTCATTATGAATGACAAAGAAAAAGTTTTTTTTCAATTAGAATCAATCTTCACAAATTGTCAATATTTATCATAAAGTAAACGAAAATAATTTTATTAAAAAGATTACTTTTAGTGATTCACGTATAAAACAAAATCTTATTCATCATTTAAACGTTTTTCTTCAATCTCGCTGATTATATACAAAAAGAAATTGAACACAGAACTCTAGTTCTTCAATACTATGTGATAACATATATCGAATATGCGAAACTATAAGCAAACATTTGAACATAAATAAGAATGTTACAAGATCAGAAAAATTGGAGAGAGCTCTATAGCTTTCGAAATTCAGAAGAAAATTTTTGCTAAAACTGATCGAATTTGGGATGATCGAGCAATTTTTTGACAATGGATGAGCAAAATAAAACGCAAAAGGTCCTTATTTTTGCTGGAAAAAAACAAAAATTTTCAAAGACTTTAGATGAGTCCTGAACACAAAAACTAAATTTTGACATCCTAAATCAGATTTTATTGTTTAATTCTTCAATTAATCAATTCAGTTTTTTTGCAGTTAATACAAACTGTTAATATTCATGTATCATCTCTAGCTCGTTATAACAAGTAGTAATATTATTCAAACTATTAGAAATATACACATAATTAGATGAATAAAATTCTTCGAAAATCTACGTTAATGATATTCGTTAGCTTCATTGAACTTTTCTTAATCATCAGGACTATTATCACTGTCTTTGAGTATATTATCAGGATATTTGATTCATATTTTTGTTCTTTTCCATAATTCAACCACATGCACAATCATCTTATTTCATTCACCTGTAAAACTTTATTTTCTACGATTTTTTTTTTTACATGCATGTTAAAAACAAATATATTGTTGCCATAAAAAAATATATTTTCTTATAAACAAACGAGCAATATCAGGTTTCTTTTTTCTCCTTTGGTTTTCTTTTACAGTGAGTTGTAATCTATATTTTCTGCATTATTTTAGATGCTTTTTTTTTAAAGTAAACTTTTCAATTTAAAATACATTGTTGATTCTTTCAGAAATAGTTATATTCGAATGTGTTTTTTTTTAATTTTGAAGTAAATTTAATTTCTAACTCTTTTGAAAAGTTAGAATTTTTTTCCTAGATTATACAAGACTTTTTAAGTTTTACTTTTCTTTTTAAGCGATAAATAAATTTTTATTTCAATGTCATTTTCAAAAGAGAAAAATTTTTTATCACATTGAAAGCTTTTAAAATAAAAGCTAGATATTTGTACAATTAAATAAAACAAACCGATCCCAATTGATTTGATTACTGAATTAATATTACTTGAAAAAAAGCATTTCAGTAAACTTGCAAAATTCTTTAGAGGATAAAAATAAAGCCCGAGTATTGTTAGGTGTTTATCATTTCTCTGAAAAAATTCATTCAATTACATTAAACTAATTATTTTAGTTAATAAAGATTTTTCTCCATTTCAGTTTCAATTTTTTTCTTATTACAGTTTGATAGAGTATTCAAATTTTAAAATAGAACATTAGAAAACCCTTCACGTTTCGTGATGTTATCATAATGGTATTAGCTGTTTTTGTTTTTGTTTTTACAAAATTCTATGACATATTTACAACAATCTATTCATTTTGATGTTATTAAATGAGAATTCTCACCAATGATTCATTTCAATCCGAAAACAGATACTTCATCTACTTCTTAAATTTCATACATCCACTACGTTTGCTTTCACCGAAATATTCAACTATTTGTTTTTTGTTTTGTGCTGCGTTCTTCCTACAAGCAGCAAAAAGAAAAAACAAATAACATTATTGAAGTATGAATCTATGTGATTATTTACAAATATAAATGTTAGAATCACGTTCTTCATGGTTTCGCTCCTATGGAATACGTACACATTTGACAAATCGTTTTTGAACATGCTAGAATGTTCAAATATATCTTGTTTTCTATTTTTTTTTATAGGAAGTGACTATGTACACATATGTGTATATAGCTAGTCAGCTATATACACTTATGTGTACATAGCCAGTCAGCTATATACACTTATGTGTACATAGCCAAGTGACTATGTACACACAAGTGTATATAGCCAAATGGCTATACATACATGGGTAGGTATAATCAACCTAGCATATATGATATGATTATTATCTTATATATATTTGCTTATTAATAAAAACTAAATATTTCATTTTTCTAATAATTTTATTTTATTAATTATTTATTACACACAAGCATAAATTAATTAGTACAATTACAGAACAACAGAAAAAATTAATTTAAATAAAGATCAACTAATTTAGAAGCATTTCTAGTGCTTCCTCTCTTTGATTTTGAAGGAAATGGTCAAATTTCATTATGTTCAATACATTTAACATAATGATCACGTAAAGATATTTGGTCATAAAACTTCAAAGATGGAACATCTTTATAACAAAGAGATGTTGCAAAAGCCAATGCAAATAATCCACAATCATTACCACCAATTTGCTGTTGAACATGTTCAAATGAAACCGAAACTTTTTCTTCATCAGGTAATATATCTTTAAAAAATTTAATTATCGATTCTTTTGGATAGCTTAATGAATCCTAAATTTTCCACACATTATTATCACAATTTATATTTGATATTGTTAACCAATGATTGTTATTTGCATTAAAAATAAAAATAGAGTTCTGCAATGAACCCGTGTATAAATGAATTTGTGCAGGACCACATAGACCATTAACATTTGAAAATTGTTTATGTAATAATTCAAAAAATAAATATATATGAAAATCAGTTAACCACGTTGCTTTGTCACAAACACCGCGAATCGAGTCTAATTTTTTGTTTCGTTTAACATTATAATTTTTAAAATCTGGTGATGTTGGTTTGTAAGTTCTTTTATTTTTTTTATCTTGATTATTCTTATCACCTTTTTCTTATAACCCACTAATGAAGCTTTGCCACGTGGTCTACCTCGAGGATTAATTACTGGTGAATAATTGAGAATCATATTTTGTTTTAATAATAAATGTGCTTGTTCTTCTTTTGGTTCTGATTCCAATTCTAATTTTGATACATTTTCATTGTCATTTTGAAATAATATCATATCAGGTTCTTGTTCTAATTCTTGTTCTTGGTTAAATTTCATAACATTTGGTTCTTGAATTTCTTCTATATGGTCTAATTTTGTATGTTTTTCTGTTGCTTCTTTCTGTATATCATCAGATAAATTTATAAATGCTTCTTGTTCTATAACTTGATCTACGTGTTTGGAACAATTATGTTTTAAAGAATTTGCATAATTGTACAATTCTTTATGTTTGTTTAAACTAATTAAATCGCCAATAACATTAAGAAAATTTAAATGTTCATTAAATTCATTGGTTCCGCATTGGATTATAAGAGCTGTTAACATATCTAATATTGGTTTAATATTATTGTACTTGTCATTACTATTTAAAATTTTATTTTTTTGAGGTGTAATTTGATTAACTATAAATTGAGAATTATAATTTGGTATATTATCATAATGATTGACTTCATTTAAATAATAATTAGCTGGATTTTTTAACCATCGTTTGTTAAGTGAAATAATTTGTTGTAATTCATATGTTTTATCATATATTTCATCATTAATTCTATTAAACAAGACTATTATATGACGACATGGTAACTGATTTTGTAAATAAAATTGACAATCACAAAACAATGAATTATTATTTGAATCGCGATAAGCTATACTTGACGTAATAAAATGATTCTTTTCTTCGTCTTTTTGACCGATTTTCCATCTATTATCTTCAATTTCTTCAATAAAACAAGTTTTAAGTTTTGTTTCATCATTTTGTTTACGTAATAATTCATTGGCTTTGTTGGTCAGTTGTGAACCAAATTTTTTGAGTAACATTGAATCATCATCATTATAAACTTTTTGTTTTAAACTAATATTTAAATTCATTTCTTCAGCTTCAAAATCTTCAACAAGTACTAATAATTTTGTAACACATTCAGATATGTGCATGTTAGATGATATATGATCTTTAAGTAATCTGTTAAATCGTTCATGATTGTTCCCTAGAGAATATACTGAGTTAAGGGTACCCAAAAAAGTACCTTGATACCAGTATGTCACAGGAACTTTTGGGTACCAAAGTACTTGCAGGTACTTACAGGTACCTAAGTGGTACTTTGGCAAGTACCCTGCTGGAAAATGCACAGTAATTGGGTACCTAAAGG